CTCACACACACACACACACACACACACACACACACACACTGGAGTAAGAACATGACTGCCCTGTGTTATTATCATTAAAAAATATATAAAAAAATAACATAAAATAAATTAAAATATTATTAAAATATATAACTATAGTTTAATCATCTAAAACTAAATAAATTATAAAAAACAAATATAATTTTTTTTATGTATGTATGTGTGTGTATATATATATATATTGTTAATTGAAATATAAAATAAAATAAATTAAATAAAAACATTTTAAGTTAATTGTTAAAGCAACATTTCAAATTTCCATAAAGTTGAATTACTAAAATAACTGTATTTTTAACATTACTAAACTAAAACTGAAATAAAATAAAAATCAAAGAGACGTATTAAATAAACAAAAAAAACCACACACAAAAATACTAAAATTATATCTAAAATTAAAATGAAACAGAAAATAGAAAAATCTATTTAACAAATATAAAAATTTAAATATTAATACCATAACACTATATTAATTATACTAAAATAACCCTAAAGCTCAGACACTTAAAATAAAAAAAAATATATATATATATATTAAAAAAAATGTAGCATCATATTTCAGTCAGTTGCCAAGGCAGCATTTCAAATGTCCATTTACTTTAAGTGGAATTATTAAAAGATTACTAGAACGAAAGCTGAAAATAACTGAAATAAAAAGATTAAAACTAGAAATAGACTAAAACAAAAATAATAAAACTGGACAAACACACACGCAACAAATTTTAAACTAAAATTAAAATGAAAAACATTGAATTAATTCAAAACCATTACACTATTAATATAACACTCAAGCTCAGACACTTAAACAGACGAGAGAACGGATGGAAATAAAGACCTGATGACATTAGCTTGAAGTTCATCGTGAAACACTGATATCAAGCTGATTTGAGCAAGTTTTAGAGAGACACGCACTGACTGCTGATTTGCTTTCAGTAATGATGATGTCTGTCTGGAGGTTAAAGACAAGTAGGATCGAAAGTGACACAGCAAAAACCTACAAATTCATTTTGAGTACAGCAATTAAAATTCCCAAGAAATAGGTTTAATTTCAAACATTTAGCTATAGAAACAGCTGTTTCTATGGGATTACATCTCTGCCACAATTCTGCGGGCGAAAGATGTTTGTTTGTCTCGCAAAGAAGTAAGTATTTTGAGCGCACGAAAATCAATTTAGCATTTAAAATAAGTTTTTGGATGTGTGCAGACCTTCTCTTTTGCGCGTGCAACGTTTCACTAGCTTGCTCACCTGATGCCCTCAGTGCTCTCTAAATGCCAACAGCTCGCGTGCTCAACACAACCCAGCGTTACAATGTGCCATAATTCCAGCCAATCAGAGACGAGGCTGCTAAATACTGATTGGCTGCCTTGACAACCAATCACAACATTCCTTGCATTACCTCGACAGCAGAAGAGGACAAATACAGTGCATGCATAATTATTATGCAAGTTGATATTCTGATCATATTTTTTTCCAAGCACATTTTACCAATTCCAAACGACATCGATCTTAATAACTACTATTAATCTTGTATTTAATCATTTATAATTTATATATAATTATTCATGAAGGCTGGAAGGGAAAAATGTCATATATTCAGGTGTGCATAATTATTTTTTCTTTGCGAAATGAACATTTTCTCCACAAAACTCAGATCGCGCACGTGCAAAATGCACTTCTGTGCGCTCAAAATATGATCTTTCGCGTGCAGAATTGTGGCAGAGATCTAAGCCTGTGCTATTTCTGAATACATTAAATGTCATGAGTGCAGCAGCACATGACAAAAATAGCCATTCCTTCAAACCAAATTTAAAATTCACAAACGTACATGACTTAATCTATAATGATCTTCTGAAGCTGTCGTGTGTTATGACGAGGGCATGAAAATATGCAGCATATGGAAGTAACTCCAGATTTAAATTGATATTAAATATAATGATATATCTTTAATGATGCCTGTGTCATAAATACAGACACTGATTAATTTTAGAAAGCCATTGCTGAAATGTAATGAAGAACTAACACCTAAAATCAAGAAAACTGCTTCACAGGACACTTTGGACAGTTTTACTTTACAAGTGAAGGTTGCATGAGTACAACTAATTTCAAATACAAGTTTAACGCAGAGAATCTTCATGTGTTCATACAGAGGGTTTGTTTAGACTCTCATATCTTACAGATAAAGCTTGGCTTTGGTTTAAATCAGGCAACATGTGAAAGACGAGAACATCAAATAAACCTGATGATAAACAACTCTGCAGCTGATGGGAACATTTTGTCCATCGACACTCGTGATTATTTATTATATTAATCCATCGGGATAATCATATACACAGCGCTGATCATGAAGAGACTTTACAAACAAACACCGAGTATCAGGATGGTTATACGGAAATGATGGAAAGTCTTCACACGAACAAAACGTCTGCACATTTAAAAACTGAAAAACAGTCATTAAAATCAACATTTTATTAATCTGAAGGGAAAGTACAGTATGTTTATTAATGCTCCATCTATAAGGTTCGGTGTATTACCCGGATTAGACTGAAACTGTAGAAAACGATGAAGACTTTTACTGTAATTAAACAAATGAAGAATTGCTTTGTCTGTCTTTAGCACTGAATTACATTTATATAGACATTTATTTGCTCATTTACACACATCTAAGCAGAATTATGAGATCAGCCCTATTCCATCTTTTGAGAAATATTATTTTACCAAGTATTGATAATTATAGTGGAAATTTACACTTGTCTAGTTCAAATAAAAATACAATAAAATGCAATAAAATTATTCTGGACACTAAACTAATTTTGTTAATTTCACATATGCTTCAAGGAATAAAACATCTGGAATCTCAATTATAATTTTTTTTAAAAGGGAATATATATATATATTTTTTTTTTCAAATTTTTTTTTTTTTTCCAAAATTCTTTTTTTTTTTAGAAATGAAAATATGAGCATCAACATGAACACTGATGCATTATAGGACCGATTTTCTACTATTTAATATGGGTAACTAATTAAAAAATACATAGTACCATTTTATAAATTATGACAAAAATACACTGCAAAAAAATATTTTCTTGTCTTGTTTTCCAGTAAAAATATGTAAACATTCTTAAATGAAGATACATCTACTTGAGATGCAAAATAACTTGAGATATTAAATCTTGTTGAAAAACTGATACAAAATTAAGCAAATTTATACTTAAAACAAAGAAAAAATATCTTTCCATTTCAACTGAGTTTATTTTTCTGAGCCAACAGGCAGATTTTTTTCTAATTTTAAGCATAAACATAATTAATTTGGATACATTTTCCAAAAAAACAAGACTTCTTAATTAAAGTCATTTTCCTTCTCGAGTAAATGTTGATTTCAGGAAATGTGGATATTTGTAATGGAAAACAAGACTGATGAAGAAAGTGATTTTTGCTGTATATTTTTGATGATTTGTGATCATGTTTAAAATGGCTAAAGGCTGATCTTGGCTAAATATCTCATGCAATCAATACTGCATCTACAGTGTTTTAATGAAGACAGGAGAGCAGCGGTCATATTTGCTTTTGGTCTGTGATCGTAAACAAAGATTAAGTATAATTAGCAAACATTTCATGGGAACGGCTTCATCTCACGGGTTATGAAGC